ATGCTGACTATGCTGGATCCAAAATTGACAGGAGATCGACTACAGGCTATTGTGTCTTTGTTGGAGGGAACCTAGTTTCATGGAGGAGTAAGAAGCAAAGTGTTGTATCTCGATCCGGTGCAGAATCTGAGTACAGAGCTATGTCACAATCTACATGTGAGAATATGTGGATATATCATCTTCTAACTGAAATTGGGTTGGAATATCATACACCAACAAAACTTTGGTGTGATAATCAAGCTGCCCTGCATATTGCCTCAAATCTGGTGTATTATGAAAGAACTAAACACATTGAGGTTGACTGTCATTTTATTCGTGAGAAGATTCAGGAAAATTTGATTTCCACCGGCTACGTGAAGACGAGAGCAAGTAGCTGATTTGCTCACAAAGGCGTTGAATGGAACTCGAGTTGATTATCTTTGTAACAAGCTAGGCATGATCAACATATATGCTCCAGCGTGAGGGGGAGTCTTATAGAATGTATATAGACTTAATCTTAGTAACATACATAGCTATATATAGGCAACAGATTTATAGGGATCACTGCAGATCTGTAGGAATCACTCTTTATTTCTTTCCTTAGTTAGCACCTTATGTATTGTATTTATTCACTCTTCACCTACTGGAATAAGACAACATCTTCCATTCAATTACATCCACCATGTTAGAGTGGGTAAAAGTCCCACATTGGTTGGGGAATGGACTGGTGGTCTCCTTATATGGACTTGGGCAATCCTCCCCTCATGAGCTAGCTTTTGGGGTTGAGTTAGGCCTAGGTGCCATATCTTTACATGGTATCAGAGCCAGCTCCATCTCGTTTGGGCTCTTGGTCCACGCGTCAGTTGGGCCTGGGCGTGAAGGGGGGTGTTAGAGTGGGTAAAAGCCCCACATTGGTTGGGGAATGGACTAGTGGTCTCCTTATATGGACTTGGGCAATCCTCCCCTCAGGAGCTAGCTTTTGGGGTTGAGTTAGGCCCAGGTGCCATATCCTTACAATAACAAAGGAAGGCCTTCATGATGAGGAAAGCTAAACAGAAGGGTTGGTCGCTAGGTGTGGAGGCTGCAAAGAGGAGAGGGGAATGGCGGAAAATCAATCGTCTGTTATACATAGATGATACTCTAGCTTTCTGTAATGCTAAAGTGGAACAACTAGGCATTCAAGTCTCATTTTGTCAGTTTTTGAAGCTGTATCTGGTCTCCACGTAATAGCTCTCTTCTAGTAAATGAAGTTTCTTAAATGCAAATATGACAACAACACTTGGGTTCTCTGAAGTACCCAACCTACTAAGTATTTGGGTATGCCACTGGTAGCAAAGAGCAAATTTCCGGAGATATGAAATGAGGTGCTGCAAAAATGTGAAAAAATTAGAAAGATGGAAAAATCAATATCTCTCTTTGGGAGGCAGGATGGTGCTTGGCAATAGTGTTCTTGATGCACTTCCTTCATATATGCTGTCTTTATTTCCAATGCACGTTACAGTACATAAGAGAATAGATGTTTTAAGGAAAATTTTTAATCTGGCAAGGGAACAAGGAGAAGAAGAGTCTGCTCCTGAAGTAGTTGGGGACATTTAACATGGAGGAACAAGCCTTTTGGAGGGAAGTGATCAAGGTGAAAAGTGGTTTAGAAGGGCATTGGGCTCTATCAAATAGTGAACACGACCCACGATAAGGAAACACACCTCGATATTGCAAGTTCCAAGAAGAACTCAAGGAAAATAGTTCTCTCTTATACAGAGTAACAATCTATTTATAATGATGATGATTGTTAAGGTTTTTTACACCTTTGGAAGACTATTTGTACTAGAAAAGAAACCCAAAGGCCTTTCAAAATCAGCTCACCTTCCTAGAGCTAACTAAGATCTCAAGATATTCTAATAAAGAATACTTAACTCTTGACAAACATATCTCTTGTATTATAAGTTCCTACGGTTTAGCAAATAGAACTTGGCCCAATTCTTCAACTCAAGTCCACAAGTGATGTGTGTTTTTCTCTCACAAACCCAAATCGAATTGACCAAGCAGGACTCTTATGGTTTCCTTGGAGCCCATATATGGTCCAAGGAACTTCTTGACTATTCCAGTCAAGGCTTGTTTGATCTTCTTGGCTTTAGCCCTTCTAATTAGACCATGTGGCACTATAGGATAAAGACAAGTATAAAAAGTTGTATAGTCCCCAAGGTGAGAGAGGAGGCCCCACGACCTAGACCAAGTGAAGTTTATCAAGGCAAGGATGACAGGGTATTGGTGGAAGATGTACTCATTAAACGATGATGATAAACATACTTCCATAAACTCTTAAATGTAGAGGAGGACACGAGTAATGTGCTAGGTTATTTATAGTACTATGTGAATGTGAGTCGTCATGATTTTGGGTATTGTAGGTGTATAAAGTTTGAAGAGGTTAAGGGGGCAATTTGTTAGATGAAAAGGGGAAGAGAGACCGAGTCAGATGAGATCCTATGGAATTTTGGGAGAACACCTGCAAAGTAGTTATGGAGTGGTTAACTTGGTTGTTTAATGTCATATTTAGGTACCATGGTGTATGTTATTTGTAGATGACATAATATTGATCGACGAGTCAGATAACAGAGTTGACAATAGACTGGAGGTTTGCAGACATGCCTTATAGTCTAAAGGTCTTAAGATGAGTAAGACTAAAACAAAGTACATGTGGTGCCAGTTCAGTGCCATATCACAAGAAGTAGATTTGGAGGTGATGATTGGTACACAAGTCATTCCCAAAGAAAGAAGCTTCAAGTATCTTGGGTCTATTATATAAGGAAATGGGGAGATTGACAAACATGTTAGTGTGTGCATCGGTCGGTTCAGTTTTATGTATTATCGGTTCGGTTTATTGATTTTTGGTCACTAGCGGTTTGGTTTTTGGTTTACCCAATTAGAAAATGCTCATAAAATAAATATTTGATTTCTTACTTCTCTAACAATTTGGTGCGATACAACGAGACAAGCAAATCAACTTTGAATACTTTGATATAGTGAAACAAGAAATATAATGAGAAATTGCATCAATAAGAGTAGATGTAGTACAAAGGCCACAATCACATGGTACAACCAAAACACAATATGGAATTTCTGATGTGAAGTAGAAGTACTGTGACGTGTGAAGTGTGTAGACCGTAGTGTAAAGTACTGATATAGTGTCTAGTTATGTTAAATTATGAATATTTAATATTTATGAAGGGTATAGTAGTAAATTACAATCGTCTTATGGGTTATCGATTTACCCAATAACCCAATACTAAAAGCTAATACCAAACCGATAACCCAATAATTTTTTTTAATAAAATTATTAAAAATCCGATAGCCCAATAACCTAATAGCAATAACTCAATAACATTTTTTTCGGTTCGGTTTATTGGTTGGTTCGGTTTTTGCACACCCCTATATGTCACACATCATACTGATCGAGATGGATGAAATGAAGGCTCACATTCGGTGTCCTATGTGATAAGAATGTCTCACCAAGACTTTAAAGCTAAGTTTCATAAAGTGGTTGTTAGACCGTCTTTGTTATATGGGGTTGAGTGTTGGCCAGCAAGAATTCTCACCTTTAGAAGATTAATGTAGCAGAAATGAGGATGCTAGATGGATGTGTGGGCATACTAGCAGAAAGAAGATTAGAAATGAAGATATACAGGGTAAGGTGGGAGTGACCTCTGTGGTGGACAAAATGTGGAAAGTTCGGGCATGTGAAAAGGAAGAACACAAATTCTTCAGTGAAGAGGTATGTGGAAAGTGAGACAGATATATTAAATATTGCTTATGGACGGAGAGGAACAAAAGATGTTTTGATGGCACTCCAACTCCCATCTCTACCTTTAAAGCAAGATGTTTGATTACTCTTTTTGGTTGGGTTAATCTCCTGTACTTAGTGCCGATTCTTTCCTGGAATTTATCAGCTCCATAGATCTCTGTTGTTAGCTGTTTAGATAGTTTTTTTTTGCCTTTTTGGGAGCTGATATTTCTTTCTTTTGTAATCTGTGCATCTGCTTGATGCTTTGTTAATGACATTCTTCTTACTTCATCAAAAAAAAGAAGAGAGGTTGGTAGTGATAGGTCTATGGAGTGATTGAGGTAGAGATAGACTGAGGAAGATCTGGGGAGAGGTGTTTTGACAATCTCACGGAGGAAATGACCTTGTATAGGAGGGCATGGGGATCAAGGATTAGGGTAAATAAAGAGCGATTTCTATCTTCCCTGTGGTAGAGCATGGTTCTAGCCTAGAGCACCACACCTACCTGTTCCCTTACCAGTATTATTACTATGATGTAAGCAGTATCTTATTCTTCAATATTATTACTAACTATCAATTTCTTTTACTTTAGTTATGTTACTTTTTTGTCTTCAAAATTTTCGACATTTTTTTTGCATTTTTCATCATACCTGTTCTGAAATCGTTTTTTTGAGCCGAGAGTTTTTCAGAAACAACCTCTCTACCCCACAAACATAGGGGTATGGTCTGCATACACACACTCTCCCTAAACCCTGATTGTGGTACCACACTGGTATGTTGTTGTTGTTGTTGTTGCACTTGGATCTCTTTGCTTGCCACCTGATCTAGCTGGTTCGTATCAATCAAATAGTGGGGTTCTGGTCGTACAAGCTATGGGGATATTCTTTACAGAGGGATTAGTTTGCTGTACTATTGTGTGTTTGGTTAGGGGTGCAATGCGTTACAAGATCAATTTCTTTTTATATCAGAAGTGGGATGGAGGGATTATATATGTTGCTAACCCATTGGGATACTTCATGATATCTGCTAGACTGATCTTCACTACCACTTGTTAGCTCTATGTACTTAATTATTTTGTTTTGCTCTAGGATGCATGGTTTTCTTCTTCGTGATGATAAAATGTCCAATTCTTTTAAAGTACCAATTGATTCTATTTTCCCTCTCAGATGTTGGATTGTTTCCACTAGACATTCTAGCTACTAATCTTTTAATAATTTGTGTTTGTTCTTTTCATTATTTATAGCCTGGATCCTCCTGGCGGGGTATACTTGTGTCAAGTGGTCACATCGGGTGGCTTTTGAGCTTTTATGAAGCACTGAGGCAGAAGTTTTCATGTGAAGGATACTGGATTGATTGTCCTCTTGCAGTCTCTGCTCGGAAGCTTATAGTTCAGTTCTACTCCTTGTGGGGAACAATATTTCCATCTGGTACTCATACTAGTTTGCTATCAAATTTGTCGTTACTTTTCTTTTACTACATTATTCCTGACTCCTGTGATAGATGTGATACATCTTTGATTGGAATTGAGGATTGCTCTTCATATTGTCAACTTCTTCATTAAGGCTGATCAAGTATTTATCATATTGATAGTACCCTAAAAGAGTGAATACTATTGCGAAGCTGGAACTCTTCCGGCCTATTATATTATGTTATGCTGGACCAAGACTCCAACTCCCACTAGTATTTCATGCCTGATAAATCTCAGATTCACTCATTTTGTTTAAAAGAATAATATCATTAACCTTTTACCATTTAGTTCCTCTTTTTGCAATTGATATGGCTTAACTTCATGTAATTTTGTTTCAATAATCTCTTAGGAAAAGTTGGTAACTTGTAATAATATGCTGAAAGTTTTGTAACTTTGAAACACCCAATTAAATTCTTTTCTTGAATAAAAAAGATGAAACTTCTCAAAAGTGTAACCTTTGAACTATGCTTATAACTTTCTATCTCCTACTATACCTCGTATACTTTATCACAAGTAGTGGTGGATCTGTGTGGTGGTCATGGGTTCATGTGCACCCATGCTCCCTTCTTAGATCATGTATAACAATATTGTAGTTCTTCAGGAGTGCTTAAATACATATGAGTGCACTCAAACTGATAGAGTCATGTGATGGCAATTACTATTAAGTGCACCTCTATAAGTGAGGGATGGGTATGTCTGATGTTCCTTTTTGTGTTTTAATTAAATTTTTTGTTCTTTCTTTTGTTTGGCTATTCCTTAAATTTCACATGTGGGGCACATTTAAATTCCTATTCTCTCCTTTGTAGCTGCAAAATTTTATATAATTAAATGTCTATACTGAAACTAGTTGCAGTGGAATATATTCCATTTATCAGTGGGTTCAATTGATCCCAACATTTTTGACGGAGTATAAATGTTTAAAAGAATACTAAATTTCAAATAATAATAATAACAATAATTCTGAACCTATAATTTCAAAAGCGTAATGGATTCAATGGTAAGAACATAAAGTTTGAACCCATCAAATTCAAATTCAGGATCCACCTCTTTATAATAGTGCACCCATTTTCTTCAAATCTTGGATGCTCCACTGATCATGCGTAGGCAATATCTCACCAAGTAATCAGTTACAAACCTATAATCTAGTTTAAGTACCATTATATCTTTTTAGAGCCCTTTTCTTCTCATTTTTCTCCTCTTACTGTACACTGATTTTGACACCTCGAGGATCGTGAGAACTTTTGAGGTTAAGGTAGAGGCAAGGTCCGTGTACATCCTACCCTTCCCCGGAACCCACTTGTGGGATTACACTAGGTATGTTTTTTTTATTTTTTTGGTAACTAATATGATTTTATTAATCACTAAGTATCAGAATTACAAACCCACAGTCAGCTTACGACAGTCGACTGTCTCAAGGATCCGAGTAAATCTCACAAGACTCATCGACTAGAGAAGAAGGCAACACGCACTATTCTTCTGCTAGTAGCCAAAATAACTCCTACACTACAAAAGACTATAAACTAGAAAAGAGAGTATGTTGTTGTTGTTGAGGATCATGACAACTTGCTATATGAGTTTCTGTAAAAAAATAATTCATCTTACTGCTCTTACGTTAATAGTAAGTGGAAGCTCAGTCTTGATTATTGCTTCTTTCCTTCTTTTCCCCCATATATGCTAAATATTTGACTTTGGGACCTTTGGGTGCTTATTCGGTATTCCTCTTTACATGGAAGCAGATGATGGGAATACTCAAAAACAGCACCTTTTGCATCTCTTATCTGGAATTATAGCATGGATAGATCCCCCTGATGTTGTTTCAACAGCAATAGTGAATGGAAAAAGTGAAAGGTTAACATTAGCACCAATGCCTGCATATTTTCTATTAATGTGCTACGCTTGACCAATTTTTCAATTTTGTCCAGTGAATTCCTTGATGGATGCCGAGCCTTACTATACATGGCTACTGTAACCACAGTGCTAGTATTTGATGAACTGCTGAAGTCTATAAGGTCAGCAGTAACCACCGTGGTAGTATATATATATATATATATATATAAATGTATATGATGTAACCATCAACACTCGTGCTTTATTCTTGCAGTTTAGTGGTTATCCTTCATTTTTTCTCTTGTGAGAATATTTGATTATGTTAATCACTTCTACTTTAATGCTCAGGCCTTATGGCACTCTTAGTTTGTTGTCCGCCCTGATGTGTGAAGTCATTAAAGACCTTATGGCAAACCACACTGAAGAGGAGACGTGGAGCTGGGTAGCACGTGATATCTTGTTGGACACTTGGACTACACTTCTGACGGTATTTCTTTATACAGCTTCCAATGATGTTACTGGAAAAGTTATGGGCATATGATGTTTTTAGGCATACTTGAGGTGCATTTAAGCACTGAAGTTAGTTGCAGTGTTGATTATCACACACAAGTTCCATCAGATGGATTTCTCCAAATTTTATTCCTTGTGCAACTGTTTGACCCAATCTAGCACTCAAGCTACTACAACCATTGCTCTATATTCTGCTTTTGCACTAGATTGAGCAACCAGAGTCTGTTTCTTACTCTTCCAGGATAGATTACCTTCTACATTATTATACTGAACCTTATTTATATTTTATAGACACTATTGCATTCCTTCTCCACGCTAGACACTGTACAATCCTACTTCTATTTCTAACAATGAAAATCTTTATAGCTACACAAATGCGAAGTCTCTATACCTATTCAAATTTTGCCATATAAATTGGAACGGATGGAATATTATGTATGTACCTTTTCTAAGTTTGTGCCTTTCTTCACCAAAGCACAGCACCTTAAGCCCCATTAAACATGACATTTTTCTAGGCATTCTACATTTGTCTGCTAGACTATCCTAGTGCACCTATTTATTGAAGCGGAAGAGAGAACATTATGCTGTGCAAATGAGGAATTAAGAAGTCTGTATAGGGGGGAATATATGTATAGTATTTTTGAGCAGATTTTTTTTTGTTTTTTATTTGGCATCTGACAATCAATATTACTGTTTGAACTGTCCAAAGGTTTTGGAGAGTTGGTTTCCTTCCTCCAAAATACCAATTTTCCAAGAACACCTTTTGATCTTGGAGCGGCGAGCTGATTGCTTATTATTTGCTTCTTTTTTGGACTCATGCTTTAGGAACATTTTCCCTTTTAAGTACATGTCATGATGGAGGAGGAGGCATTACCTTTCTATGATGTCCTCATTGTTTGTATTAAGTTATATTGCTGTCTCACATGGTCGTGTAAAGACTTCCTAAGGTGTTTATAGAGGTACTGGTGGCCTCACCTGTTGCCTTAAGGTTCATATTAATTTCTGATAATTTTTCATAATTGAAGTGCTAGCACAATTGCTTTTCGTTTCCCTTTTCAGCCTAGAGGAAAGCATAGATAAACAACAAGAGCTAGGAACTGCATGCTTGTATGAAAGCCTTAGCGATAGAAAAGTTTGCAAGTGATGCTATTCAACAATGCTGAGCTTCTCTTAGATCACGAACACTGTAGGACTTATGGTATAAACGAGGAAAAAAAGAAACAGAAATAACAAGGGAGTGATAGTCTAATGGTTAGAGCCCTCCTCCTTCAAGCATGAGACTTGGGGCTTCAGTCAGCAGGGGAGCAAAGTGGGAAAGACCTATTGGGCTCCCGTGTGCCTTTTTTTTTTTTTTTTTCCTTTTTCTTTTTAAAGGAACATGGTTGCCATATTTAAAAAATAAAAATAAAAATTGTGAGTCTTTAGGATATTTCCATAAACAATTGATATAAAAAGACCAATAGTTGTAAATTAACAACTCATAAATCCAATCTCATTGCGGATTACATTTTGATTTTAACAGTAATTGAAGTGGTTTGGTTGCTTCCTTTCTCTTTCTCTCTCTACCTTCCCTTTTTGTTATTGTATTTTTTGAGGGGTTGGAAGGGGGTTGTTTTAGCAGCTTTCAGTGTACAAAAATCTTAGTGTCGGTTTAATTAGTTTCCGTAATTTGACTACTCTTCAGTTTTAGAGTATTGGTTCAAGCTTCATAAAGCCTGAGCCTATTTTAGAATTTCTGTGCCACAGGATGCAAGAATGTAAGTGGTGCACTCTCTCTCACTGATTTTGTGTGGTTGTGAAATTCTTTGTTGTTTTCTTAGTATATAAATGTCTACACTGTTTAAAAATGCTGACACGTCTTCTAAACGTTGAAGATTTAAATGTGTATAGCATTAAATATTGCTTTGGATAATCACAGCCTAGTAATGGTATTGTTATGTTAATGAAATTTCATAGTTAAAATATGTAAAATTCAGCTTTTCAGATGGAGATATGATATCTACGTACACACACAGAGAGGCATATATATATATATATATATATATAGTGTGCGATCTATACACACACCTACACTAATAGTCTTTTAAATATCTGTACTCGTATTTATATATTTTATGTACAACATTTCAGCCTTTGGATGGTTCTATTAGCCATGCGGTTATTCCTTCGGAAGGGATTGGAGCTGCATCTCATCTCTTTGCCCTGATTGTAGAGTCTGAATTAAGAGGTAATTCATATCTAATACGAATATAAATTCTTGATTTAAAGTTCTTACTGTCTTGGTCACTTTGTAACATGATCCCTTGTGTAGCTGCTTCTGCATCCGCCTTCAATGATGAGAATGAGACTGATTATCTTCAGGCTTCTATTGCTGGTAGTTAAATATACTTCATTCATTAATTATTTAAGCTTCTTTTTTCGATTCCTTTTTGTAATGTCTATTATGACATTTCAATTGTCTTTCTACTTTGTTATCCTTTATATCTTCATAGTTGTTTCCTTTTTTCTTTTCTTCCACCTTTTGTACTTATTTCTTATTCTTTCTTATTGTTGTTTTTAGCCATGGATGAAAGATTGAGTTCGTATGCACTTATTGCTCGAGCAGCTATTAATGTTACTGTTCCTTTTCTGATACGACTCTTCTCTGAGAAATTTGCCCGTCTACAACAGGTACTTCGTCACTCTAATCTCTTGTTGTTTTTCTCTTGGGGATCTGTATGGTCATTCAGACTGTTCATTCAGCTAGCAAACTTGTCCCCTTTCAGAATTTATCTTTTCAACTTATTATGTTTTTGTATTTCTGAGCATCCTTTAGCTTTTCTCAGTATTTTAGTTATCCGTACAAGTCTTAGTTCCTTAAAAAAATGATATTTTTTGAAATGCTGTTACATGTCAAACTCAATCAACCTGCTGGATTTGTCTTTCTTCTGGAAGTGATATCATCATCTAAGTGTTTAATTGTTGATCCGCTATTATTGTCTGTCTGCATTTCCTATCTCCAAAATCCCCCCTAGGAGATCTTTGCTCCATTTTCCGTTGGTGTTGTCTTTTTTCTGCTTTGCCTACCTGTGAAGTCTCTTTTTTCATGTTAGAAGAGTCAATTTTGGATCAAATGCATGTCCAGTATAATTATGTTTATGTTTTTTTTGCTAGTTCAGTATATTCTTCAGACAGGGAATGCTGACTTGCTGAACTCTTTCCTTTTATGTAATTATTTGTTGACATGTAGGCAATCTTTCCAGGATGTATTGAGCCCCTCATTTTCACATAGCAATTTTTGAAATCCCGTCCCTTGTGCAGTCTTATATGTCTGCTAATCATATGTACATGTGTGTATAAGTTGCTGGGTGTAAGCCACATTTTCTTCTTGTCATGTGTAGGGCAGAGGCTTTAGTGATCCAACTCAAACTTTGGAAGAGCTCTACTCACTTTTGTTAATAACTGGGCATGTTATAGCAGATGAAGGACAGGGTGAAACACCACTGGTAATGGAAATCTTTCTTTATGCTGGTGATTTTTTTGGAGAGATTTTTGTGCTGGGATAATCTCCATTCTGGAAATCCTTTTGAGACAGCATTACTGATTGCATTAATGCAATACATGATTACTTTATTCATTGCTTTATCATCGTTGTTCTGAATGTCATCAGTGTTCTGGCTAGCCTTAACTTTTAGCTTAATGATAACAGACAATAGTTTACCTTCAAAACCATTTGATATGATTTTAAGATCTGCACCCTGGCCTTAGAGTCCCCCTTCTTTAACATGTACCTTTGGGGTAGGGAGAAGAAAGGCAGATGCAGGATTAGGCAAATATAGGAAGGGGGTCATTGATTTGTGTGCATTTATTTGTTTATTTCTCTTTTCCAGTATAAATATAGACATGTTCTATTGTACACGCCCTGCATCTGCTTATGCTGCATTAGTGATTTCTATGAGTTCCTGGTGTTGTAAACACAAATCTTTGAAATACACTATTTTATTTTCTGTTGTGATTCCATTTCCTGTGGTTCTGCACATGGGGTGAAATTTGTTACTTCTCATTAGGTGCCTGATGCTATACAATTCCAATTTATGGATGTTATGGAGACGGACAAGCATCCAGTTGTCATACTTTGTGGGTAAGTTCCTTACTTCCTCTCCGTGGATAGTTCAAAAAGTAAGATATCTAACCATTCTCTATCACTATTTACATGTTGTCAATATCATAATGTATTACTTCAATTTATCTGACTTGAAGGATCCCATATTGCTTAGTTTGCAAAGTATCAATCTTTTTTTGATGACCATGGTGTTCGAGCCCGCTTGCGCCCTCCTCGACTAATTCCATCCGGTTTCTGCTATCTCCCAGCAACACAGGTAGCGGGTAACTCTACCCACCAAAGCTTGGGAAAATAAGAAAAAATTACTTAGTATTTTGTTTCACTGAGAACTTCATTGACCACTAGTCCACACTTTTGGGTTCCATGCGAAGTATCAATCTGTAGAGTTTCTTAGGGTACATTTGTTTTTATTAAGATTTAGACGTCTGAATTTGTATACACATCTATATATTAAGATCTTGTCTCTAGATCTGAACATTGATTGCGTATATCTAAACATAATAAATATACAATTATAATATAATGGTGATAAAATTCATATTAAAAAAATATTAGCGAAATTATCCCAGGGATTTGGTCTAGTGGTAAGAGCGCAACAAGTAATGTGTGTTAGATGCACGTAATGGGTTCCAACTTTTTGGCAGACAATTTTTTTTTTTCATTTAAGTGGAGAAGAGTAAAGGGGAGGGCCTGTTATTCACCCAGTTTTGAGTGTGAGCCTGGTTACTAGTTTCTCTATCGTAAAATGAAAAATAGAGACTCTTATAAATACATGAATTAGCTCTCTTTACTTTCGACTAGTTGTTTTAAGACCAGAGGAACACCAGGGGTGTGCCAAATTACGAGAAGAAGCTCAAAATGCAAGCTGCGATTGAATCTATCCGAGCAGCGCCTTCATGCACCAACACGTGAGAGGCCAGATCGAACTTTAGATGGCGCGTAAAGAAACAACCCTTCTTTCACAATTGCCATAGATGTTTCTCTAAAGCTATTATGTTCCTTCGTCGGTGGTGGTTAGGAAATGCGGTCACTCTTTAAGAGATGATACTAAAACCTTTTTCAAATGTACAGAAAAGTTGCCAAAATTTTGAGCCCAGTAGGTTCTGATACCACGTAAGAGACAAGGTATTGCAGAGTAACTTGTATAATATATTACTCCCAAAGGTAACAGGTAAAAATAAATGTGCATATGGTTCTAAATATGGAAAGAACAAAAAAAAGAAATCCTATAAATCTGCTGTGAATCCTTTTAAATGTGCTACCTTCATTACCTCAAAATATGATTACATTCATTCTTCAGTTTCAAAAAAAAAATGATTACATTCATTCTGTAACATTAATGGAAGTGGAATTTCCTTGAGATGTGTTAAGAGATGAGTTATTACAATGTTAGTATAGGACATGAATGAAGTTGGTCTTGTAAAATTACATAGAATGTTGAATATCAATGTAAAAATTATCCAAATCAGATTGTCGATTCTATTATTTTTTCTTATTTTAGCCATCCTCATTGGCCTCTTTCTTGCCTTCCGTCATTTGGAACAAAAAGTTTTCCCCAACACGAGAGTAAGATGGTTTTTTCTTCATACTTCACTGAGCATTAAATACTCAAAACCTCTTTAAGATGAGAGGGCTAGTGAAGTGATTCCTCCCAAGCGGTTTGTGGTCTATGACACAAAGGGTCTTATTCTCATTTCCTGCATTACTCACCACCTGGAGATCACCGATGGTAATTTCTTTGTGTCAAGATGAACCTTGTGTTATTCCATCACCTTTAAGTGAATTCTAGTACCAAGTATGTCTTGCAACTTTAACACTCATAAGTGGAATAAAGCTTTGTAAAAGTGTCACACTAGTAGCTGTTTGCCGTATCTTGTTAAGAATTCCCACATCGGAAAGGAGTGGGAATTTAGTCTCCTTATATGGACTTCGACAATCCTCCCCTCATGAGCTAGCTTTTGGGTTGAGTTAGGCCTAAGATCCATCCTTACATGGTATCAGAGCAAGGCCCATCCCAATTCTTTGTTCACCGATGTTGGCCCCCCATATTATAGTGTCCATGCTCTAGTAAACGAGCTCTGGGGGTGCGGGGGAGTGTTAAGAATTCCCACATCAGAAAAGGGATGAGAATTTGGTCTCCTTATATGGACTTAGACAATCCTCTCCTCATGAGCTAGCTTTTGGGGTTGAGTTAGGCCTAAGATCCATCTTTACATCAGAATATAAATTTTCAATTGGGGCATAAAGCTCCAAAGGATTGAGCAGGAAATTTAATAGTTAATCTTTACTTACCGAGTTTATATCAGCCATACAATGGGGACTTGTCGTCCTCCGGTGTTCTACCTTCTCTTTATTTTTAAGATTGCCGTATTATTGTATTCAACTTCATACTCTTGTCTTATTTTGTCTGGTGCAGATCAATAATAAAATTTGCTGAGCAGAGTTTAAATCCAGAGATGAGAGCGTCGTTCTTCAGTCCAAGGCTAATGGAGGTAGTTTGTCAAAATTTCTGCTCTATTAAGATCTTCAACATGATTAGTTATGTCATCTGCAATGCATCCTTAATAGCTCAGCATTCTCCATCCTGTCATATCCTTTGACACACTCCCACAATCCTCAAATATGTGTGAAGTATTATTTCTCTGTAAACCCAATAAGACTATTTTCATGAAATTATGCTAATACTTAAATCTTTTTCTTTCCATATTGATTATTATGTTCCACATTTCCCACTGTCTCTTAACTAGGCAACAGCTAGAAAAAAAAGAAGGAAAGAAAACAGTACTAGTTCTCAAGATCAAGTCCATTCATGATGTGAAATGGAACTGTTTGGTGTCTTTTTTTTCTTGGTGAAAGGAAATTGTATAGAGGAAGTAGATGAGATGATAGATTTCTTAGGTGCTCTGTAAAGCTTGAATGTTTAACTTTACCACCTTGTAACTTTTTGGAGGTGGTCAACATTCCTTAATGCTGAAGAATACAACAGTACTAATTCTCAAAAAAAATAAAAAGATCCACAATCCCATAATAATTACTTTGAAGGGTTAGTTGGTTGATGATTCAGTTAGACATGAATTGTAATGCATACATTCTTATACACTGAATAACATTACGAGGATTGTTTTGGAGAGAATAAATAATATGGGAATTGTTATTCAAGATTACGTAACTCTTATCCACGTACTGCTAATACACGTATTACTTTTTCCACCTTCTAAATGGTATAAATAATACATAGATTTTCATGCAATGTTTAGTTTCCGGTATTAAAAGTCACTAAACATATGTGGATTTTATATTAGAAACCAAACGTCGTATAAAGTTATATGGAGATTAATTAGTGATGTAGGGTTTTGTACTTCATAAAAAACATTTTAATAAATTAGTACAAGTTTTTGATATTTTTGCTTATACCACGTGGGACTATAACAGTAACCAAATGTGACCTGAGTGTTTGATCATGATAGCCATTGTACTGTTTGGAGGGGGAGGGGGAGGGGGAGGGCGGGGGGGGACGCTGCTTTGAGGCTGTCAGGACCAACATAAATTACCCACCCTCCTTTTGATCAAAACATGTTGTTTGATTCAAAAATGAAAAACATAAATTACCCACCCTCCTTTTGATCAAAACATGTTTGATTCAAAAATGATAAACTTAAGGACATGACAATATATGTGGTACAAGGGGAATAAGCTGATCTTTACTAAATATCTGTTCCTAATCCTAATTGCCACACCAGATACATGAACACGTGTTCAACGTTTTGTGATATTTTCTGCACAAGTTTGGCAATATTTGGTTCTGTAACTCTGCACTCTGTGCTGTCTCTTAAGTTGGACAAAAAAATTTGAGCCCAGATGATCCTTGTGACTAGGTTTATATGTTAATAACCTTTTTAGGTATGCTTTTTCAATTTTATAATTCCTGATGTGATCCTACAATGTAGTGGCCCTTTGCAGGGGCTTCCTTTTGGTCTTACATTCTCAGCTATCAATTCTTTAATATACTTCAAGAGTTATGTAGTCTATCTTCAGTACCTACTTATATTTTTCATGTTACACACTCAGGGTTAACTCATATGCTCATTCTGTCCAGGCGATTGTATGGTTCCTTGCAAGATGGTCAACTACTTATCTAATGCCACCTGATGAAAATAAAGGGAGTGCATCTTCAGATAATCACAAGGCAAAACATTACAAAAAAGTATTGCTTAATTTTTGTGAAGAGGACAACCAGGGGAAAGCAGTGCTTGATCTTATTCTTCACATTTCGAAGACAACACTCACTTCATATCCTGGAGAGAGGGACTTGCAGGTAGGCAAAGTAGAACAGCCTTTCGTTGTACAATGACCTTACTGTGTCTGTATTCAAACATAATTCAATGACTGCAATTGTCCAAAATGTCCACATGTCCTCATTGGCCAGTCCCAAATCTGTGCACTTCCTTGAAAAGGAAAATACAATTTGTTGTCATTCCAAATTTAAAACAAGACATTCAATTTAGGACTGGTATTTTGTGCGTAGGCCGTAGTAGTGCAGCACCTTATTCTTTTGGATGTCCCATTATCTCAAATATTTATTCTCAGTAAATGATAGAAGCAAGTAAACAACTTGGTAGGGAGTTTCACTGGATTTATTGCCCGTATAGCCGACTTGGCATTTTCCCACTCTTATTGTGGAAACAAGAACTTTTCTCCTCACTTCTGAAGTCTTTATTACCTCATTGAAATAAATTGGTTTTGTAACTTTCTTTTCTTATTTAAGATACAGCAGCTTCTCTGGTGTGCATTCAATGTGAGTCTAGTTTTTTGCATTTTTATCATTAAATTGAGCCTTTTTCATATTCGGTAGGAATTTAGGTGTTCTCGGGCACAACCTGCCTCAACGAACTGTTGGGGTTTAGACTGACGAGAGTATACGGGCAATTTATTGGTATTCCATAGAATGAACAAAGAGTTCAGAAGAAATATAAAGAATGAAGGTACCCAAGGGTTTGGCTTAGTGGTCAATGAAATGGATTGAGAACCATGAGATCTTAGGTTCAAATCCTATCAGAGACAAAAAGAAAAACACTAGGCGATTTCTTCCCATCTATCCTAGCCTTGGTGATAGGTGGAAGGTATTCCAAAGAATTAGTTGAGGTGTGCGGAAGATGGCCTGGACACCACACTGACAAAAAAAAGAAAAAAGAATGAAGGTCTTTTAAGAATGTTCAGCTTGATCAGTTCTTCAAGCTAAATAGGGCTTGGATGACCTATAGACATATTTTTAAAGTGGGAAGTGATTCACAATTAGAAGACTGAATTTCCTAACTAATTCTCTTAATTGATTCTAGTTGATGCACACAATACTCCTTAGTTTATGCCCTTAATTATAGAAGATTGTCATGACCCAATTTGGGCCATGACCGGCACTAAGGGGTAGAATCCCAAAGCAAGCCTTGGCAGAAATTTGCAACATATCAAGCAGAGTTTCCCTATTTTTGAGCCTATACAAAGATACCTCTGTCTACGGATCAACAGCTAACCAACATACATTAACCAATTAAGTCATAATCTTTATCAACTAACTATTTACAAAGAAATAATACTAAAACCATCACCAAATACAAAGAGAAGTCCAGTACTTATCATAAGTATATAATAAGAAAGAATACTCACGACACTAAGGAACTATCTGGCCATAGATATTGTGAAGTATATTTGGGAAAACATTTGGCAAATACTGTATGGCCATACAACTTGTCATAATCGGGCAAGCGTACATGCCAGTTGCTCACAAATATTTACTCATTAATTACAAAATATTACTAACACTCCCCCTCATGGTGAAACGTACATGCCAGTTCCTCACAGCTTGCTGCAGATGTATTTGCTTCTGGAATCTTGAAATAATTTTGTGATTATATGTTAGACTTTACTGCTGAAATAGTAAATAAAGGAGCAAATACTGCTGTTTCACACTAGATACAGTGATATTACAACAAGAAGTTCTGAAAACAAAACAATCACGAGTACACTACTAACATAATAAATTACATCCCAAGACAATAATGAACTTTAGTTATATAATCATAAAGATCACAACCTTTCTAGACATTCGAGAGGCTAGAAACTCTCCTAGAATTCCCTTTTTCTTTATTTTCTGAATACCCTTTCGTAACTGCCCTGTCCCTATTTCTACAGATAAAACCACCCAATACATGTGTGACTGTCCTGTCTCATGACAGTTACTAAGTTTCTTAATTTTTTATTTTGGCCTCCTGGAATAAGTTTTTATAACTTGAGGCTCATCATTACCCTTCCCTATAAAAGTCACCTTGTCCTCAAGGTGAAAGTCCGGAAATTGTTGATAGATGACTGCATATTCCTCCTAAGTATTCTCAAATTCTAGTAGAGTCTTCCACTTGATTAGCACTTCCAATTTACCATTGATTAGATTCCTGATCTGCCTCACTGCCTCAGGCTCAACTTGAAGCTCCAATTCTTGGGTAAGAAATGGAGGTAGGTTTTGAGCAGGAGTAGTTGGAAGCAAGCATTTTCTCAACTGTGAAACATGAAACACTGAATGAATGCGTGCTCCAACTGGTAACTCCAACCAATAAGCTACGGGACCAATCTTTTCCAAAATCTGGAAAGGACCATAAAAGCGGGGACTGAGTTTTTCATTGATCTTCTTAGCCAAAGAACGTAATTTGTAGGGCCGAAGTTTGAGATATACCATTTCAGCAATCTCAAAAGTCAGTTCTTTATGATGTAATCTCAAAAGTCAGTTCTCTATGATGTCGATCAGCTTGATTCTTTATTCTTTGTTGTGCTTGTAACAAATATTCTTTGAGTTCGGTTAAGATCAGATTTCTAGTGCGTACTTGCTCATTTACTTCTTGCACTGCTGAAGTAGTGTCATCCATGTGAAAAATTGATGATGGATCCCTTCCGTATAATGCTTTTAAGGGTGTCATACCTGCAGATCTATTAAAGGATGTATTAAAGCAATACTCGGCCCAATATAACCAGTGGGACCATTCCTTAGATTTTCTCCTACCATACAACAGAGATATGTCTCCAAACTCCTATTCACCACTTCTGTTTGCCCATCAGTTTCTGGATGATAGGAACAACTAGACCTTTAGGTAATGCCTGCTAGTTTGAATAGTTCCTTCCAAAATTGGCTTATGTACACACAGTCACGATCAGACACGATAGACTTGGGAAATTCATGCAATTTAACCACTTCCTTAATGAAAACAACTGCCACATCTTTCGCATTAAAAGGGTGTGAAAGTGGAATAAAATGTGCATACTTAGTAAGACGATCTACCACAACCAAAATAGTATCAAACCTATGGGATTTAGGAAGTCCAGTAATGAAGTCCATACTTACATCCTCCCACACATGATGAGGTATAGGCAAAGGTTGGAGTAACCCCGTAGGACTCAAAGTTTGAGACTTGTTCTTTTGACAGATTTCACACCTAGCAACAAAGTCTTGCACATCCCTCTTCATACCTTCCAGTAGATATTCTCGGACAGCCTTTTATATGTGTGAAGATAACCCGAATGGCCTCCTATAGGAGAAGAATGAAACTCTTTCAATAGCCCAGGTATTTGATATGGCAATGATTCCATTCTGGGATTCCGCGCTTCGAAAAGTCTTTTTTGATGCGTCTGTAATAGCCTATGTGTCCCAAAAAAGAACGTGCTACGCCCGGCCCCCTTTTCAGTAGATGAGATTAGGATGAAAGGGCTTTCTTTCATTAACATTCCGTGAAGGTGCATAGACATCCATTCTTCAAGCTGTAGTTGTACTTGTCATCTGCTTGTTGTCCTGAAATTGACTTTTGCAAAGTAGAAGCCATTTTGGTGTCTCATTGTACTTCCTAGTCCCATTCTCCTTGTCTTTATATTGCCAAATTGAAAATCCATATAACTCTGAACATTCCCCGTGTCTTGACAAAGCATCAGCCACTCAACACCCGGTTTGTACTTGATCTCAAACCTATAACCCATGAGCTTGGGAACCCATTTCTGCTGATTCTCATCCATAACCCTCTTTCCTAGAAAAAATTTAAGGGCTTTTTGGTCCCTTTTTATGAAGAAATGATGGCCTAGCAAGTAGTGATTCCATCTCTTGACAGCCAACACAATAGCCATTAGTTCTTGTTCATATATCAAACATTGTCTCGCTCTGAAAGAAAGCATTCGACTGAAATAGGAAATAGGTTTACCATTTTGCATTAAAACTACACCAACACCAAATCCCGAAGCATCAGCTTCAATTACAAAGGGTTGAGAAAAGTTTGGCATCGCTAGAGCGGGCGTTTGAGTCATAACCAACTTCAATGCCTCAAAAGCTTGTTGAGCGCGTTCTTCCCATGAAAAGGCATCCTTTTTTAGTAAATCAGGCAGCAATCTTACCATAATCTTTGACAAATTTTCTGTAATATCCAGTGAGTCCCAAAATGACCCGCAAAGACTTTATATCTCTAAGAATTGGCCAAGATATCACTCTCAATCTTGGAGAGTTAGCCTGCACTCCTGCAGAGTAGATGATATGACCCAAATATTCAAGTTTAAGCTGACCAAACATGCATTTTTTCTTGTTGATTCTGTTTGAGAATATCCAAAACAACCTTCACATGCCCAAGATGTGAAGCATAATCCTTACTGGTAAATCAAAATATCATCAAAGAATACTAAAATAAATTTCCGCAAATGATCCCTGGAAATATATTCATCAGTGATTGAAAAGTTGAGGGTCCATTGGTCAAACCAAATGGCGTGACCATAAACTCATAATGTCCCTCATGAGTGTAGAAGGCTGTTTTTTCTTCATCTCCAGCTTGAATGCAAATTTGATTATAACCTGACTTAAGATCCAAATTTGATCTTTTGAGAATGACGAAATCGGTTCAACAACTCTCTTTTAAAGTCTTCCCATGTTAACATTTGTTGCAGAGACTCCATCCAATAATACCAATTTAAGGCTTTTCCTTCCAAACAAACACCGACTGCCTGTAATCTTTCCGCTTCAGAAATTTCATTCACAGCAAAATAGCGCTCCACTCTGAAAATCCATCCCAAAGGATCCTCTCCTTCGAAAATCGGTAGTTCTAGTTTCTGAAACTTCTTCCCATCTTTTTCTCCAGCCCAGTTGACATTGCTTTCCTCTTCTTGGTTTCCGACAGATCTGGTTTGAGAGTGGGATGCTTCTGCCATCACAGTTCCCCCTTGTGCTTCAATTCTTGCAAGAGACTCTCATTTCTTGAAATCATCCTTCGAGTTTCCTGACATCTTCTCTTACCCAATTCAGAGGTGGATCCAGGATTTAAAGGTGGTGGGTGTCGTATCGCCATTAAATAGACGTGTTCATTAAATCGATCACATATTTGACTTATTTTGACCTTATAAATAGCTACTTGGGATTGTTGTTCAGTTATTCAGCTTTTCAATTTATAAAGACAATTGAATCAAATAAATAAATAAATAATGATAACTTGGCGCAAAGAAAAACACTTTCAACAATATCCTCTATGATTGCACTTGGTGAATTTTCACACTCTAAATACACTCAATAATAATATAGTTATTTATATTTATTAATAGTTCACGCTTTATGTAACAAACTTAAATAAAGTGGTTGGAATTAATTATTGTACATGCACAATTTTAATAACAGAAATGAAGTCTTATGTTGTTGTTTTGACTCGCAACAATAAAAAACTTAAAAGACCAATGAATTCATATGAAATTTTAGTATAATTTCATGTCATCTTTTAATGCAATATGCATTTTATTTTGTAATTTTAAATTCTCGATAAGATTTAAATTATCATATTCTAAACTATTTCTTTTTTCATATGCATTCAAATGATTTAGATAATAGAACAAAGGGTAAGAGAAATTTGACATTGAGTTTCAAAAGTTTTGAAAAAAAGAAAAGGAAATTTTGAGGGAGAATATCTAAAACAAATCTTAATCATTATATGACCATAAATTATTTCATTATGGCAAAAGGAAAATTACAAATTAAACTAGTTTCTAATAATAGAAAAGTAATATCTTTTGAAATAATTAAAAAAGAAAGTGTATCACATAAATCAAAATTTAAAGAGTAGTATTTTATGTCTAAAATAAAAAAGAGAAAAAAAAGTCAACAAATACAAATTTAGAAGTTTTATGTCATGTTAACATATATATAGTAAAGCATATAACATCATCCTTACGTTGACTAATCATCGTTAAAGTTTACAACTTCTCTATGCTACTGGAATGGTTGGTGAATTCTTTTTCTTCTTGTTTAATATTGCCTCAATATGAAGTCATTCATTTTTGGATGACTAATATTATCAAGGGAGGTAAAGTTTTTCTAACCAAAAAATCGCAAAAGGTTTGGAAACAACGTTTTTAAGAGAATTCTCTTGTTTATCATCAATCAGTAAATCATGAATCGGTTTGCTTCTCTTGGATTTTGTGATCCAAATACATTTTATTTTCATGGAATCCATGATCTGTTCAATACATTTTTTAGCCTATGAAGTGGAATGCTTTATTATCCAACAAGGTCCTGATTCACCGTCTCTTTTCTAGTTCTGCTACTTATATCCAGATTATTTCTTCTTCCTCGATCATATCGAAATAAAGTATCAATATCTTAAATTTGGTGATATTTTTTAATTTTACATAAAACTGTGAAATTCAAGCCAGGCTTTCCCCAGCCCCTTCTCATCAATGGACTCCAGGTAATATAACAAACAATCAAAGTATCTCCATTAAAATATTGATAAAGTGGTTTAGCATATATACATGGAAACTGTCTATGAATTTGGGTAAATGCAGCACCGTTCTTAATTACAATTAGAGCATTCCATCTGAAACAATAATCAGTTTTTGTCAGTATGATAAACAATATCAGCACATCAATGTTATATTAGGAACTTGCTACTATGATTGAACTTCTCTAGTGTTGTTTCCGGTAATCTGTTATTTCCTTGCTGTTTATTGAGGCTGTTCATTGCAGCAGCTCTGATACATTCTCCTTTCATTTTGATAGGCACTAACTTGTCATGAGTTGCTTCATGGACTTGTTCGGCGGAAGAACGTTTGTGTGCACCTTGTTGAATTGGTGGGTCCTTAGACGAGTAGTACTATTTCCATATCATGTTTGAGCCCTTGATGAGGTGGCTCTGTTTTTCTTTGGGTTTTAATTTTGCATGGAGGGTTCCAGATAAGATTGCATGGCATTGGGTATCTTCCACACCAATTATGTTTCCTCTTTTTAGTGCTTATCTTTCTGTCAGTCAATTGTGGATAGAGATTTTAGTTCTCAGTTCTATCTTATCTGCCGTCGGAACTGAGCTTTGCTTATTGTTGTTGTTTAGTCCTATCTCATCCTCAATACATAGAGATATTGATTAAGACAAAAAGTATCTATGTTCTATATTATTTGTCGCACTACAAAAGGTTTAAATGGTTAGAGAGGAATTTATGATCAACTTAATTTCCATGTGCTGGAACAGGTAATATCATCCTGGATTCTTAGTCGGGAGTAATGATTGGAATATCATATTTATCCCAATCTGCATTATTTGTCTTGCAGGACTCTTGGCGTGAGTTGGCAAATGCTTTTGCAAATGAGCAAACTCTATTCTCACTAAATGCTGCTCACCAGGTACCAATCCATACGTGTGATTTCTTTTTTTGTGAAAATAGATCATTGACTTAATTGACAATGTACAAACGTGCACCTTATATAGGAGTCTTACTGTCCTAGGATACTATAATACGGTAGGCAATCAAACCCTATACTACTAGGGTTATAAAATATTCTATAATGAAATACATAATATCCTACGGTATCCTATAAAATATCCTATTTGATTTTACTAATTCTAGTATAATGACTTCTAAGAATGTAGACATAAATTCACTTTATATTCTCAAAGGTTCTCCCAGACTTCATGTGCTGAAACCAAATTGAATTTGCTTATTTTTGTAACTTGGAAAGGGTCACGCCTAAATCTTGTTGGAGTAGTACACAATCACAAAAAATACTGGTTCTAGAGTTCTTTCCCCCTGTTAGCAGCTGGTAACTGCAAAACGAAATAAAGTGTTTCTTGCAATATACACTTAAAGGAATCTATTGATTGAGAGATATGGCAGTTGAAATCTCAAAGACATTATCAATGTAACTTGTATCAGCGGAACAATGTCAGAGGTTGTTGCTCATGAATATGTAGCTGGGCTGCTTGTTGGAAACAAATGGTGCGGAAGAAATCCTAGAGAGATTAGTGGCACTTGAATAGTTGCCTGAAGATGAAGGCACCGGCTGTCGAAGAGAGGATCGTTGTTGAACACAAAAAGAGAGAACAAATGAAATATTGGTCTGCCAAGTGGCATGTATTGCAGTACCGCCTTTCGGTAGCAGAATCCATTTGAGTTTCTACCGAGATCGTAGAGGCTCTTAAACCATGTGAAAATAGAAGAGAGCTCATCGGCTTGGAGCCCGTTTGGATTAGTTGATTGAATAAAAGTAGCTTTAAAGTACTTGGGATTTAAAGCACTTTTGAAGTGCTGGAGCTGAATTTAAAAACTAGTTACATGTTTGTCTAGAAGTGTTATAACAGAAAATAAGTGGTTGATGTGTTTGATGGAAAAGTGCTTATCAGATGAATTCCTGTTAAAGTGACTGAACTGCCCTTAAAGCTGTTAACACTAAAAATGACCTTATATTTGTAGAATAATTCAAATACGAATTAAGTTGTCTTTCAACTCACTTTATGTTATAAATCAATTAAAATATTATTATTATAAAATAAGTTATTTTATTTTAATAACATTTGATATCATAAGCCACGTAAAACTCACCACCCAAACGTGTTAGCTGTGGTACCAAATTTTTATTCTTTAAGCATGAAATTCAGCACCTTTTTTACATCTTTTCCACCATATTTGAGGAGAGTATCTTTGTAAATAAATATTTTTTAAAAAAAATTCTGCAATGCATGGTACACCAAACCAAGCAATGCATAAGAAATAATCTTTGCACAATTAATGCAAGCAAAACTAATACAAACATTACTAATACACTCTATTTAGCATTACTCTTATACACTCTACCAAACGACCCCTATATTGGAAGGAAAGGGAGTCCTCAAAGACTTCTCCATCCTTTGAGTTTGGAATGGAGAGGGATGTTTTTGTAGGTTCTCATAGCTTCATTTACCAACATACCACTACACCAAATATGGATTTCCCTTAAATTGCTAATGTAATATTTCCAGCCAATTCGAACTGTTCTTTGTCTTATTACAGCGTTCGCTTGCTCAAACCCTTGTTCTTTCAGCTTCTGGCATGACAACTCTAGAGGCCTCCAGCCAGTAAGTAGATATTCTCCGTTATTTCCTTTTTTTTCTTTTTACATTTTTGTTATTTTAATTTGTTGAACTTCTAATACTGGATGACTTGTCATTGCAATTGTTCTTAGGTATGTGAGAAATCTGACAAACCATATGGCAACTAATCTGGTGGAACTCTCAAGCCGAAGTGATCTAAAATGTGTAGCTGAACAGCCAGATATTATTTTATTGGTAAGAATAGACTGGAAAAGATTATAGCTTTTAACATTTGTTTCTGAGTAAATCTGTGATAATGCATAGGTCAGTTGCTTGTTGGAGCGACTTCGTGGTGCTGCTAGTGCGACAGAACCTCGAACACAGAGAGCTATTTATGAGATGGGTTATTCAGTACTGAATCCACTCTTGATGTTTATGGAAGTTTACAAACATGAGGTATAAACTGTATGAGATAATAGCTGTTGATTCAAGTGTGTGCTTTGGAGACTTGGTTTTGAGCTTTTCCCTTGAGCTGAACATGTTGTCATTATACCAGAAGGTTATGTGGATTATATGGTTGCTTAGGTTTCCGTGTTGCTAAACTTGTTAAAGATATACAGTGCTGATTTATTGTTATCCTAAAATTATATCCCTCTGTATCGAGATAAAACCTTGAGTGCTGCCTGTTATCATTTTTCTTTCCAGTATGCATCTCTTACACTACTGGCCCTTCGCAGCACAACTATAGATTAAATGTTACATGTGGGTTTTCCAGCACCAGTAGGCATTGAGATTGGTATTCTTCAATTTCTCACTTTCTGATATGGGCAGCTAAAAACCAGAGAACAATATTTCAATTTCAAAAGTGGTGCTTGAAAATTAAATTTGCAAGTTGGGTTGTAATTTTAGGGTTAAGCAGATGCCAAAATATTTAGGACCACTTGATTTTTAATTTAATAGTTCGTAGTGTATCGCTAAAGAAAAGGCTATTTTCTATTAAAGGTTAAAAAAAAAAGGTATGATATTGCACTCAAGTTCTCGTTCTACCTATGTGATGGGTCCAGTTCAATTTAAGTGAACCAACTTTAATTGATTACTGATGCTGATTGGCCTAACATGTCAATGATTTTTATCAACGGCCATGCCATTCTTTTTATGAATTCTAATGCAATAAGTAAGCCTGTCTTAATTTTTGAACAGCTTTAGCTAACCTAGTGTGACATCATAATGTGAAACTACATGATCTAATCTTCCAGTTTTTTGTAGTCCACAGTTGTGTATCTGTTACTCAGATTTGTGGTTGATTGGGTTGATGGACAAATCATTTACCTAGAAGCTCGTGAAACGGCTATTGTTGTTGGATTCTGTATGCGCCTACTTCAGCTTTACTCTTCCCACAATATCGGCAAGGTAATTTGATCATTAACTTTTCTATTTTTTTAAAAACATGTTACCCTATTCTTCTGGCAGATGTTGGAAGAGATATTGACCTGTGAGAAGTAGTCTAATTATTGCATAACTATGGTTGTTACAATGTTACACCTCCAACATACACCTTAAAGTTTGTCACTCAACCAAAACTATTTGTTTGTGAAATAATGGCTGTTGAATTCTGTAAGCGCCTATTTCTGCTTTACTCTTCCCACAATATAAGCAAAGGTAATTTTTGATCATTCACTCTTGTATTTTTTATAACATGTTACCCAAAAATTGTTCTAGCAGAAGTTGGAAGAGGTATTGACCGGTGATAAGTTATGTAATTATTTCATAACCCTGATTGTTACAATGTTACACCTCCAACATAAACTAGAAAGTGAGTCATCGAACCAAAAACATTTATTCTTTATTAATTAGCTTACGTTTGGACATGCTATATGAAATAACAACAACAACAATATACCAAGTGAAATCTCACAAGTTAGGTCTGAAGAGGGTAGAATGTATGCAAACCTTACCGCTACCTCGTGGAGGTAGAAGGGTTGTTTCCGAAAGACCCTCGGCTCAAGTGCAACAAATTCAGGTACAAAGGAGGAGGAAACAATGAAGAGAATAAAGCAAGTAACAAGGTAACAATGCAGAGTCTACTGGAAATGAGTCGAAAACAACAATACAAAATCAACTACAATAATACAACTAGTACCATGTCAAATACTAGTCACCCTAAGCAAGACAAGATTACACTACCTATCAACCTTCTCCCCTAATACGTGTCCTCCACACCCTTCTATCTAAGGTAATGTCCTCGTTAACCTTAAGCTGCGTCATATCCTATTTTATCACCTCTCCTCAATACTTATTCGGTCTACCTCTACCTCTGCCTCTCCTCATACCTTCTATAACCAACCTCTCACACCTCCTCACCTCCTCACCTCCTCACTGGTGCGTTTACGCATTTCCTCTTCACATATCCAAACCCGGGGGCGTATCTAGGAGGGGGTCACCAGGTTCACATGAACCCATGCTCTCCTCCCGAGATTATATATATATATATATATATATATATATATATACTTGTTTTGACGCATGTGGGTTGCACGTGAATATCAATTCATGTACCACACTATTTTTAAAAATAATGTGAATATTATGAACTAAAAAAATTAAGGAAACAATTATAAAATGAATGATAAAGTATAAGTTCGTATGAATAGTGGATGTAGTTTTCTTATGATTACTACTGAAAGTTAGTCAGTCTTAAAATTCTTAGTTACGCCTCTTAAAAATACTTTCTCCTCCCTTCCCCCATAGTGCATTACTTAGTTATTATTGTCTTGTTGGAGTTCTAACTTTTAATATAATATAATATAATATAAATAAATATTGATATAAAATATAGAAGATATACTAAATTGGATGTTTTTAGTTGGAGTATTAGATTAATTTAACATTCATGTTAGGGAGTGTTCCATATTATTGAACTTTGAGATTGCCAACGTCTGTAAATCAAACTTGAGTTTATAAGAAGAGCAGAATAGAAAACATTAAAAAACCGTGGTGCACTTGCGGGAAACTCCTTGCCGAGGGCCTGTGCACCCCGGGATTAGTCGGGGCTCAAAGAGACTCGGACACCCGGTGCAAATAAAAAAAAAAAAAAAAAAAAGAAAACATTAAAAAAGCGTAGTTTAAAAATGTGAGGAAACCCCTCCATTTATAGTTTAAAAAGTGTAGTAATAGCATGTGCATATTGTTCTTTATCAAAAAAAATAAAATAGCATGTGCATATTGTTTCTTATCATAAAAGTCACAACCCTTTAGAAAGGTCACAACTTGTCGGAAAAGTCACAACTCTTTGGAAAAATTATAACCATTCAATGTCAAATTGTTTCTTCTTTTAATATAATATAAAATATAGAAGATATACTAAATTGTGTGTTTTAAGAAGAAGAAGAAAGGGTTTAGAAAACTCACAACTCATCGAAAAAGTCGTAACTCTTTGGAAAAGTCGCAACCCTTCAGAAATGTCACAACTCTTTGGAAAATTCGCAACCCTGTAGAAAAGTTACAACCCTTCGAAAAGGTCACAACTCATTAGAAAAGTTATAACTCTTTGAAAATGTCAAAACCCTTCAATGTGAAAAGGTGTCTACCTTTAATATAATATAATATCAATAAATAAATATAATACAATATAAATTATAGGATCATGCTCTTTGGAAGGATGTTATCATTAGCAAATGTGGACAGTTTGAGCAATGGACAACCAATACTGTAACTAATACATATGGGGTCTCAGTTTGGAGGACTATCAGAAATTTATGGCCTAAATTGTCCGGGAGCATAGGTTACAAGGTGGGTGAAGGGACTAGAATTCTATTCTGGAAAGACAAATGGATCGGACAGAACTCACTCATGGAGGATTTTTCAGATTTATTTTCTTTCTGTGGCAGCCCTGAAGTATCTATTGCTGAGACCTGGACTAACCAAGGATGGAATATCATCTTTAGGAGGCTTCTAAATGACTGGGAGGTTGAGAGAGTGGCCAGCTTACTGCAAAGGTTGAATGATTTCTCTGGTTTAAATACCAGTCCTGATACAATCAGATGGAAACATGATAGGGATGGAAAATTTTCAGTTGGAAGATTGTACAGAAGAAATTTATCCTCACAACCTGAGAACATCCCTGGACCTTGGAAACAAATATGGAAATCTAATATTCCTACCAAGATCAAGTGTTTCACATGGACGGTATGTAGAAGAGCGTGTCTGACTCAGGAGAAACTGAAAAAGAGAAGTTTTGAAATTGTCTCAAGATGCTTCTCTTGCAAGGAAAAGGAGGAAACAAATAGTCATTTGTTTCTTCATTGTAGAGTGACTTCTCAGGTGTGGCATATGTTTCTTAATATCCTCCAACAACCATGGGTGATGCCTGAGCATACGGCAGATCTTCTAACCTGCTGGATGAGGAGAGGTGGGAGTAAAAAACAGAAAAAATGTTGGAGCATAGTCCCTTCTTGCATATGGTGGTCAATCTGGAAGGAAAGAAATAATAGATGTTTTGAGAATATTACTAATCCAATGCAGAAAGTAAAAGAAAATTGCATTAATACTTTATATCTTTGGTGTAAAGAAGAGGGTATAGATGAGGTAGAACAGCTGCATATGGTGGTCAATCTGGAAGGAAAGAAATAATAGATGTTTTGAGAATATTACTAATCCAATGCAGAAAGTCAAAGAAAATTGCATTAATACTTTATATCTTTGGTGTAAAGAAGAGGGTATAGATGAGGTAGAACAGCTAGTAGACTTCTTAGGCTCTCTGTAATTATGATTACTTGCACTGTAATTTTTTTGATAGTTGACAGCATACCCACATTGCTGTGGAATACACCTTTATCTTGCTCAAAAAATAAATATATATAAAATATAGAAGATATACTAAATTTGGTGTTTTAAGTTGGGGGTATTATAATAATTTAACATTTAACTTAGGTAGTTCATTCTTGCAAGGTAGTATAGATAGATTAAAAAAAAGATAGATATAGATTTGTCTAATTTTTATTTTATTTGAAATTTTAAAAAATAAAGAAGACTTTTAATTTAAGGATCATATGTAGAATATATAAAAATATCTTTTTAACTTTGTGGTCATAAAGATGTGCCCCCACCCCCAAGAAAAAAGAACATTCTATATTAAACTGAATTAAAAAAAAGTGCAACAAATAAATTGGAAACGAAGGAGTACTTGTTAAATCTAGTTTGGACTCTTCAAACAAGTTTTTGATCAAATGTTTTTTCTCCAACAATATGAGACTTTTCAGAACCTTAAGTCCAGTGTTGTGAAAGGCGATCGCCTAGTCGTCAATGGCGAGAGGCGAGGCGACCCTTCATCGCCTTTTAGCTTTGTGGCGTGGCGATCTTCGAAAGGTGACAAATTTAGGGTTTTAAAAGTTAAAAGGTAATTTTAGTGTTTATGACTAGACCCCTCCGTCGACCAGCCAAACTTTTCTGCTACTCCAAAGTCTAACCAGTACATATTTCTTCTTTTCTTCTTCAGATTTCTTCCTCGGTTTCTTTTTCCTTCTTCGGACTTCAGAGTCATTCCTACCTCTCCTTTAACTTTTGTTTTGTTTTTTCTCATTCAAGTTCTAGACTTTTTGTATGTACTATCTATTTTCAGTTTTTGGATTAAAATATTTGCTAGTATGTTACTGCTATTGAGAGTTTGATTATTTACATATGCAATTAGTATTTTAATTTTTTGGTATTAATTGGTGCCGCACTTCAAAAAGGCGAGTGCCTCACCACTCGCCAGACCCTTGTCTCCTGTTATCGCCTTTCACTGTCTAAAACACTGACCTAAACACCAAGTTGTAGTTTGTGCAATGGAAAATCATTGAACTTCTTGTCAAGTAAAAGTTGCTACAAAAGTATATTTATGGCTATGAAATGAGTACATATTAATTATCAAGATAGTCTTCTCCTTTGAAGTTTAGTTATTTCATTCTCCTTGTTGCATCAATTTTTGTTGATCTATCTAATTTACCCACATAAAATATTGTAATTGCATAATTGAACAAATCTTACAATCATCCTTGTTTTAAGAGGAAGAATAGAAAACTTGCAAAATTCGTAGTTTAAAAGTGAGAAAACCCCTCTATGTATAGACAACAAATGATAGTATGAAAAGGTGTTTATCGTGCCTTATCAGATAAGTCACAACCCTTCTGAAAAATCACGATTTTTCAGAAATGTCATAACTTATCGAAAAAGTCACAACTCTATAAAAAAGTCACTACCCATCAATGTGAAAAGATGTCAGCTTTTAATATATATAGAGTAAATAAATAAATTAATTAAAATGTAGATTATATACTAAATTGGGTGTTTTAAGTTGGGGGTATTATAGTAATTACATTCAAATTAGGAAGTTCGTGCTTTTAAGGTAGTATAAATAAATATAGATATGGATAGATATAGATATATAGGAATTAATTTTGGACTTATAATTTTAAATGTTTAACGAGTTTATTTCATATTATGATTTCATATCGCATGTCCAAACGGGCCCTTAGTGTTTAGTTGGTTAAATAAACCTAATCACAAATTTCTTTTTAAAGCTTACCATTCTAGTGAGTCTTACCAATCATCACTTTCATCAATAGCTGATCAGTATATATTATTCATCTGACTAAGTTATGCAGTCATTGCCCTATGGGAAATGATTTTATATGATATATTTTCCCTTGCTCTTTTCTTTTGTGTTAGTGTCTTTTAAGTTTATTCTGTAGTACTTGAAACTAGATTTTTGGGCACACACTTTAGTCTGAATATTGAAATATATGTTAAAAGCTCGTGAAAAATAGATGTAAATTGGCGGGTTTCCCTTGTCATAAAAAAAAAAAATAGATGTAAATTGGAGATAAAGCAAGAATTTAACATACTCAGAATAGAAAGTGGAACAGTGGAATTAAAAATCTTTTATATTTTACCTGTTAAACTCTTCTACATTCTTGCTAGTGGGTGGTTATAAGGCTATTATAGGAAGAAGATGCGTCACAAAATTGTCTGATACTAAAACTACCATGTTGTCCTCAATTGTTAGAATTGTTGGATGTAACCATCAAACTTACTCCACATATTTTAAAAAATTAATAATCCACAAAGCTTGATTTTGTGACATGCTATTTACAATTCCAATATCTTGTTTTATATAAGTTAAGTCAACACAAACATAATACTGATCAGCTGTGCGATATTTGTTGATGTTGTTCAGTAGTTTGTTATGTTTTCTCTTTGGTATACTTTTAGTTTCAGAATTAAGATCAATTGTGATTACGACCCAAAATACTATTATTTTTTATGAGTTCTAATTTCTGACTGTTTGCCTCATGTGTGAAGTCTGTAGTTGTTCGTAAGAAACATATTTTGAACTTTTCACTGTATGTAGAGAATAGATTAGAAAGAATTGTGTTCTTAATGGCCCTGTTTAAGTTACTTAAAGTATGGAGTTGGGTGAAATGCTATGGAGCTCTGCACCTCGCTGCCGGTATCAAGGTATGGCATGCACCTCATTGCTTCTAACTCTATGTTGATGAGGGCACAGTAAACAAAAACACATAAGTGATTTTGTTAATAGTTGACAGAATATGTCACAATCCAATCTCAGGCCATTAGTGGCATTTTGGGGTAGAGCCCTCAAGCAAACCGTATCGGTGTTTTTTAGAAAATGAGCCGGTTTTTTCTATTTCTAGTGTTATCCAAAAAATTTGCCGTCTCAACTAAAGCACACAAGAAACAACATCCAACCAAAACAAGTCATCGCCATTATCCATCATCTGTTTAAAACACAGTAATACAATGTTCAAAGTTACCAGTTTAAAAAAAATACAGTACTCGAAAATATAAAAGGAAAAGTCTTACACTAGTGACAAGTCTATAATAATGAAAATGCTAACAAACTGACTAATGAGGCAACTCCAAGAGTTTAAATAAAAGATGAGAACAGAAAAGTGAACACATTTCCCACAGAACCAATGCGGGTCTCGCAAGAATTGTAAGTTCGTGCTGTCTAGCTGGAAATATCCTCATTGGCGTCCACTGCAATCTCGGTAAAAAGAAATTGGCGGGGAGTGAGTCACTAGCTCATTGAGTTATGTCAATCATCATGTTATCTCAATGAAGAAGGAAAAGAAAAAGTAGAACATCTCTTTTGTACAAATGACGATGTGTGTGCAATTTTTATTCTGTTCTATAGAAAATGAGAAGATACTGTACTGAATAACCAATGTGCCTTCAGATATCTCTGAGCATTTCAAGCAGCTTGCGGAGTGAAGCTGATACCGAAAGATACAAGGATCTACGTGCTGTACTCCAATTACTTGCTAGTCTCTGTTCAAAAGATCTGGTGTTGTCTGCAAACCTTGATCTTATCATCGTTATTTTTCCATTGTCACCTTTTGCCTTGGTGTAGGTTCTCTATGTCTGAGGTGACCTGGGTATAACTGTTATTGCAGGTTGACTTCTCATCAGAACCTATTGAAGCTCAGGGGACAAATATTTGTCAGGTGGTGTTCATGCAGTTTCTTCCTTTACTTATTTTTCCTGCCAAGGTACATTCTCAACCTTATGATGCTGTAAAATAATCTCAAAGCTACTCCGTTGCAGGTGGTATATATGGGTCTTCACATAGTTACCCCTCTGATAAGTTTGGACCTGCTCAAGTACCCCAAGCTTTGTCATGACGTAGGTTTTTCCCTTCTATTTTTTCTCTGGAGTGATAATAACCGTATATAATAAAATAAATAATCCATTTCATCTGCACAGTACTTCTCGCTGCTATCACATATGTTGGAGGTATATCCTGAAATGATTACACAACTAAATGGAGAAGCTTTTGTTCATATCATTAAGACTCTTGATTTCGGTCTGTCTCAGGTAACCTTCCCACACAATAAGATGTCTATGGTTTATGATTTTATATACTATTTCATGCTGGGAAGTGCTTAAGTGAGTCTGGGCATCATTTCAAGATGAAGTTGGTCTAATTGTCCACCATGCTACTTCACTGATGAACAAGAAATAGTTCCTTAGTTACCCTTACTTCAAAAAAGAGAAATAGTTACTTAGTTGTGTTGTGCCTTATGATACTACTAGAGGTAGAAACCAAGATCACTGTGTTCTGTTGTTTGTGTGATAGGATGCAGAGGTCGTTGATTTATGTCTAAGAGCTATAAAAGGGCTTGCTTCTTTCCATTACAAGCAAAAAAGTGCTGGAGAAGTGGGGTTAGGTCTCCATGCTTCAGGTTACAAGGATCAGACAGGAAACTTTCAGGAAGGGATTCTGAGCCAATTTCTTCGATCATTGCTACAGTTTCTCCTCTTTCAGGATTACAGGTGAGTTGGAAAAAAAAAAACGTAACCAGCAGAGGCTGAAGGATATAATGTTTGGAGGACTAGTATATGATCCATAGTTAATGTATTAGATGTGATTGCCCATAGTATTTCATTCACAAATTTTGGGGTGTTTATGGAAACTGTTGCTATGCCCTAGTATTTGATTCTTCTTTTTTATTTTTAAATTTCAGCACTGATCTGGTTGGCTCAGCTGCGGATGCTCTTCTTCCATTAATCCTTTGTGAACAAACTTTATACCAGGCATAATCCACAATCTTGAATAACTGTATATAGTTAATATTTTTTTTTAATATTAAAATGGTTACTGAGTGAAACAAGTTGACATTTGGTGCAGAAGTTGGGAAGTGAACTGATAGAGAAGCAGTGTGACACAGGTTTCAGATCAAGGTTGACAAATGCACTCCAATCACTCACAAGCTCCAACAGTCTGTCTTCGACACTTGATCGGCCAAATTACCAGAAGTTTAGAAAGAATCTGCATAACTTTCTTACTGAAGTTCGTGGATTCCTCCGGAAAATATAATTTTGTAAATCTGCAGCCATTCTATTAAAGTGTTTTCCTTTTCCCCGTACGTAATCCCAAGTGGAAAAGAGAATTTCAATATGCTGTGTTTCCAAAACATCATTATTCACTCTATCCCTCATTTAACTAAACACAATTTTCGTGTACGTTTGCTTTTCTTGATTATTACCTTATCCCAAGTGGAAAGGAATATGGTCAATCATTTCTTTTTATTTGCCGTACCTTACTCACATGGGCCACTGGTGAACAAAATTGAACCGCAAACTGAACCAAACAGAGAATTTGGCATTGCAAAAAATCCGACTATAATTGGGTTGGTTTAATTTTAACTAAACTAACCTGACATTATATATATATATATATATATGTATGTATATAAAAAAATAATTATTTTATGCGTAAAAAAGATATTTATTATAGTATAAATTATATATATATATTTTTTAACTCTGTCATAGTTTTATGTTTCAACATTCGTATTATATAATTGAGATCCTGATATCCGACTTCAATTCAAGAACAAATCAATTGATTTCATCGTTGATTATGCAACAGGTACACAATACAAAGAATTTCACATCTTTTTTGTTTGCTGTTCTGGAGCTTAGATTGAATCGATTACACATGTAATTAGGTGTTCTAATTGAAGAATCTGTTTCAATTGTGTTTGAATTCATCTATTAATGAGGAATATATATCTATAACTTGTCTAAACTGCTTAATCAAACTGATTTCACACCGTAATTGTATAAATTCTCACTAGATAATCAGGGCTTTGGTTGAATATGTGTTTTCAATTGTTTTCTGTTGAGTTAGAGTCTATAAATTAGTTTTAGTCGAATTGCTATCTATAATTTGTATAAACTGCTTAATCGAAACTGATTTCACACCGTAATTGTATAAATTCTCCCTAGATAATCGGAGCTTTGGTGGAATATGTGTTTTCAATTGTTTTCTGTTGAGTTAGAGTCTCTATAAATTAGTTTTAGTCGAATTGCTATTTGAATATGTATAATGAATTGATAGTTGTAGTTTATGTGGAGTTAGTATCTATATAAATTAGTGTTTGTATAAATGTAGACTTGATATTTGTAGTTGTATAATTGAATTAATTCGGTCAGTATTTGTATAAAATAGTTGAAAGAACTGATTTGTGTTAATTATTGTATAAATTAGTTGGTCTAAACTGATTATGATTTGAAAAAAGTGTATAAATTAGTTTTAGTGGAATTGCTCTTTGAATATGTATAATTCATTGATAGTTGTAGTTTATGTAGAGTTAGTATCTGTATAAATTAGTGTTCGTATAAAATGTAGAGTTGGTATGTATAGTTGGCATGTATAGTTGTATAATTGAGTTATTTCAGCCAGTATTTGTATAAAATAGTTGGAAGAATTGATTTCTATTAATTATAGTATTGATTAGTTGGTATAAACAAATTTCGATTTGAAAAAGTGTATAAATTAGTTTTAGTCGAATTGATATTTGAATATGTATAATTCATTTATAGTTGTAGTTTATGTAGACTTAGTCTCTGTATAAATTAATATTTGTATAAATGTAGATTTGATATTTGTAGTTGTATAATTTTCTCTTTGAATATGTATAATTCATTTATAGTTGTAGTTTATGTAGAGTTAGTTTATGTATAAATTAGTGTTCGTATAAACGTAGACTTGATATATGTAGTTGTATAAGTGGTCTAGGATTTATGCACCAGTTCATCGTGGTTGGTCAATGACATCGAATATCGCTGAAAGTATAAATGCAGCATTAGTTTCAACAAGAGAATTGCCAATTTATGATTTTCTGGAAGAAGTTAGGCTGATGTTCGGCAGATGGAATTGTGATAACAAAAAAGAGACATCATTCACATTTACTCCATTTATTGAAAATATTCAGAAGATACTCAAAATCAATGAAGAAATGAGTATGCGACTGATGGTATGGTTTCTATATATTTGTATATTTGTATAAATTTGTACTTAATAATCAGTTTTCCTTTATTTTGTATGTACGTGAATGATAAAGGTAGAAATTATATAGTTTGTCTTCAGAAGAAAAAAATGCACTTGTGGAAGCTTTTAGTATGAAGAAATACCATGTGAACATGCTTAGTCTGTTATGAAGTTCATGAGTTTAGGACCAAATAAGTTTTGCTCGAATTTATACAAACCGAAAACATTGTTGAAGACTTGTGATTTTCCAATATATCCATTACCAGATAAAATAGAGTGGTTTGTACCTATGGCTGAGTTAGTTCTGCCTCCAATATTCAAAAGGCCTCCTGTAAGATCAAGAAAAAAGTTTTGTGACAAATCAGCAAGAGACTTTTGAATGTAAAGGGACAAATACATGTAGTACCTATGGCGTTGCAGGTCACAATAGGCATTCTTGTAGGAATCAGCCTCAGAAAGTTTAGAAAAGATTCCATTTGAATTCTGTATGGTGATTTTATACATTTAATATTGCCTCACTTTTGCCACTTGAATATTATATGAGTTATTTGATACATAATCATGATTGATATTTCAATTTAGTTTTAAAATGATATTTCAATATATTTCATTCGGTATTAGACTGTGTATGCAATCCTAAACAAACCTATAAATGAATTTAACACGTACCCCCTTTTGTATAACTATTTCTGATAGGTGTTATACGAACAATGAAGTTGTGAAAGTTCAACTTAGATATCATCTGATATTTTTTGATCACTTTGTATAACTAAGTTTGACGAATTTAAAAATCAAAAGGTGAACATTTGTAGAAATAGTGAGTCCACTAGATACTTCAATTGGACTGTATAATTGCATATGACATATAAACTAACGAATAAACTAAAAAGATACTTGATATAATTTTTTTTTATTTGTATACATTTATTGTCAATTTGTATTCTATAGTAGTGATTGTGTTTGTATAATGACTTCTCAATTAAGTTGTATAAGTTTCCATAAATTATTGTATAATCTGCCAAACTAGTCATTTTTGTAAATTAGTATATATCAATTTTTATAGTCACGATTTTTTTTATATAATATAAGAAACATCAAGTAATAAAAAGGTAAAACTAAATTCATTATACAAAATAATAGAGCCTACAAAATGTTGTTCCCGTCAAACTGTTCAAAAAGTAATAGGGCTACTACAAAATTCCAAAAACATAAAAATAATACAATAAAACTAAAGGATTGTGATACATTCACTACTATCAACATCAACATGAGATCTGATTGGCTTGTCCGGTGCCTCACTGTCTTTGATCGCCTCAACTTGAATTTTGAGCATGCCATAATTCTACAATAGTGTCACATATCTACTAAGCATTAAATCAGGATCAAATGGATCTGCTGGAATACCATTTCCATTACCCAAGAACTCTGCGTATGCTGAAATGTATACACCATAATCCCTATATACAAATACATAAATATGTAAGGTGTTTGCCAATTGTTGAATTATGAAAAAATAATAAGTGTATAATAACTTACACGCTACCTTGAGGTTGCTGAGGGATATCGTTCACATAAACGATGTCAAATGAATCAAAATCTATACGAAATCTGTATTTTGGGTGAGAAAGCACATCCAATCCTTTCTTTTCATAGAATCAAGACATTGAAAGGTACATCGGTATAAGTTGTGCATATTTTTTTTTTATCTCAATGAGTACGTGTGAATTGTGAATGGCATTCCTGAGTGAATCATATACCATTATACAACGTTTGTTAAAAGACACGACAATCAATACACAGTGTAATCTCTCCTTCACATTAACCAGAATGAGTATATTATCAACAGTAAACCATGACAGAGTAACATGTATCCTATATCAATTAATATACTCAAAATAGTGTCTTCATAGCTGACCTTAGATGAGACCTCATTGGTTCAAAAATATACTTTCCAAACATTGTGAATCAACGTGTTAAAATAGCAGTCAACGGTACTGAAGGTGTATGTACTGGTAGGATTGTACTTTTCCTTTTTCCTTACATAGTACAATATCAGATTTATGTGCTATAAGAATTAAAGTAAACAAAAAAAAAGAAAATATTATACAAATGCGATGGGTTTATATTGTAAAAAGATGTAGTAAAAATTACACCAAATCATCCAACAACTATCCATGATTAGCTAGTTTGTAGAATCAATTCTTGTAAAAAACAGTAACAACACCAAAATTCATGAAGACTATTATGACAACCTTGTCTTTTTTGTATCAATCATTATTGTTTTTCCTATCATTCAGTTAAAAGGTTATACATAACAAATGTATAATATACATAATTGTCTGGTAAAGTATATTATACAAATTAAACACGAGTCCTATAATGTAATTTTTATTATATAAATGTATACTTACTTGCTTTGGTGTCTAGCAAGAAGACCTTCCCTTACCCATTTCCACAAATACGTATATAGTGATGTATCATGTGTTCTGATGAGTCAGGGATTTCGACTCATTTGAGGATTAATATTCAAAGATTTAGTAGGCGTTTGGCCATGCGATACCATATCACGATACGGTATCGTGAGATGGAATCAGTGTTTGGACATGCAATTTTATGCTGATTCCATCTCATGATTCCATATCATGAGATGTGATTTCATATTCTCCAAAAACCATGATATGGAATTATATGAGAATTTCATATCATGATTTGAGATATTTTAATACAAAAATTGATCCACGAGTTTATATTTGTTAAAACAACCCACATTTATATCTACTAACCATTTATTTCATATGTAAATAAAATTTATAATCACATCATTACTTTTTAAAATTTAATATTCTCACCGACATGAAATTTATTATTCTCACCAACATATAGTCACTTTAACTCACACCAACCGATTGTTGAGTAATAAATTTATTTTATGGCCTTAATAACTTTGTTTAAAGAGATAATATTTATTTGGCATAATACATAAACATGACCCTTAACTTGGCGTCAACTTGCAACTGTGATTCTTAACTTTGGGTGTGCACAAGTAGGCACTTAAACTTGTACAAAATTGAACAAATAGACACA